ACCTTATAGTGCCAGGTGACTGTCACAGGTGGTCCCAGGACTCTGCTCTAAGAAACAGTGACTTTGTGCCTAGAGAAAGACAGAAGTATCACAAATAAAATTAAATTAAATTTAAAAAAAAGAAAGACAGAAGTAGTTTGCAACTCTACCCCTAGTTTTTAAAAATTGCAGTGCTGGACCCTAGCATAGAATCATGGGGGTTGGAGACAGTGTCAGTATAATTCTCACACTTACCTACCTTCACAAACACACACACACACACACACACACACACAGAGGCTTGAGAACATGAGGCTAGGCGCTCACTCCCCCTGAGCCTTGCCTGTGCTGTTGCCCCACAATGGGGCACCCTGCAGGAAATATGAAAATGTTGCTGAACTCTAGGAGGTGGCATGGGGGTGGGGAGAGAACTGACAGGAAGTGGATGAGCGCTGACAACATAAAAATAGAGCAGAATTCAGTGGGGCTGACTTGTCAGAGTCACAGGGCCCAAGGGAAAAGTGGGCTGGGTGGGGCAGTGGGTCCTCAGTTGGGCAGTGAAGGGTGAAGGCAATTTTGATCTTCAGGCAGGAATGGGGAGATGAGGAAACAAAGGCCCTGCTAGAGAAATGAATTGTTTACTGAGAAGCCCAACGTGGAAACATGTTGGACCCCTGAAGTAAGAACAAGAATAGTACAATAGATTTGACACTGACAGTTTGCACTTGGATGTGTTAGCATGGACAAGAGCCATGTGACACCAAAAGCATGGACAGATGATGGTTTCAGGAGATGTCTGTGTGAAGATGGATTGGCAGGCTGGGACCTGTATCCACATCAATGATGAGATCCCAGATTGAGGACACTGGCAACCGGGTTAGGAACACACAAGTTTGAGATGGGTAGAAAGATAAGGAAACAGAAATTCAGAATGGTATGTTGCTGATTCCAAATCATGCCTCCAGACCTGTTATAGGAAATGGTGTTGATATTGAGATGTCATAAAAATATAAAAATAAAGAGCTGAGCTGCCCAGGCTTTCACCAGCATTTAGTTAGACTGGGGAGGTGGGGGGGCAGGGATAGGGACTGCATAGGAAATTGACAGAAAATAGATAATTCCACCATTTTAACCTGTTTCTTAATTTCCTTGCCAAGTCCACTGAGCCAAAAAAAAAAAACAGATTTAAAATGGTTTACTTTCCTCTTCTGCCCATACTTAAATGATAACCACATTTATCAGAACAATCAGAAAGGAAATGCAAGCAGGAAAGGTAAAAGGGATGGGACTTCCCTGTGCCCAGCATCTATCTTTTCTAGAACAATTAGAATGACTATCTCTATTAGTTCACTTAGAAGTTTCTTCTTCCCCTGTTTTGTTAGAATTTCTGGAGTCCTCGTGGCTCATTTTGCTATGGAAGTAATGACAGGTAATCCTACAATATGGGAGATTGTCATTTAAGATGAGCAGAACTTTCCAGCATTGTCACTCCTAGGTAGAGCATTCCTACTCTACCTTCCTAGCTCTTATCTTTTCCTGGTGAAAGGAATAAGAATCTTGCTGCCTTAGATGGACCCAGAACCCACAAATGAAGGATCATGGGAAAGAGTTGCTGGAGCGAAACCATGAACACAATGAGATGTATCACAATTGGTAGGTGTGCACTAAAGCTTCCAGGAGCCAGAGGAAGACAAGTCAGTACCAAGAGTTGACACAAATATGGAGTTTCTGCATTTCACTCAGCACTTTAGAATGAGCTAATACTTCCTGTTATTGTCCTTCCTGGGGCGGCTTTGTGCTGTGTCCAGGCGATCACAGTGAACAGGATCGGAATTGGAGGTTGAGCATAGGAGCTTTGCATTTGGGAGCAAGCTCACCAGAGACCCTGGAATTACTAGCTTTTGCTGTGTCCTATTGTGAACTAGGAGTTTTGTTTCCAGCCACTTGGAGCTATATGATCTTAAAATGGCTCATCTGCCTTATGCCTTTTGGAGGATCTCTTTCTAGGAAACCTGTGGATTCTTCTAGCAATAGATCCATCAGCATTTCAGTTCAGTCTGTGTTATATGGCTTGTACCTTCTCTCATGTGAACTACGCACTGAGTACCATGATATATTGGTTCAAGTCCATTGTTATGTAGGCAAGGAGATAGTTACACAAACAAGAAGTATGGTATAGGACTAAATTGGCTGGAAGACATGACTATCATAGGGGAAAAAAAATACTTAAACCAGTGTCTGGCATATAGAAAGCATGATGCAGATTGAATATTCCTAATTTGAATATCCAAAACCCAAGATACTTCAAAATTCAGAACTTTTCTGAGTGCTAACATGCCATTGGGACATCTGATGATTCAATGTGTACAGACTTAGTTTCATGTACAAAGTTATTTTACAAATACTATATTTATGAGCCAGGCACTAATGGCTCACACCTGTAATCCTAGCTACTCAAGAGGCTGAGATTTCAGGATTGCAGTTTGAAGCCAGCCAGGAAAGCAAAGTCCATAAAAATCTTATCTCCAATTAACAACCAAAAAGCTAGAGATGGAGCTGTAGCTCAAGTGGTAGAGTGCTAGCCTTGAGCATAAAAGCTTAGGGATACAGGTGGACCCATGGCAACAATGAGATGTACAAGTTGTTATGCTGAAAAACGAACTTTATCTTTATAACACATGCCTATTATCCCAGCACTTGGGAGTCCAGGATAGGAAGATAAGAGTTTGAGACCAGCCTGAGCTACAGAGTGAGAACCTGTTTAAAAAATCAAGGGAGCTAGGAATGTGGCTTAGTGGTAAAGTGCTTGCCTTGCATGCATGAAGCCCTGAGTTTGGTTCCTTAGTACCACATAAACAGAAAAGGCCAGAAGTGGAGCAGAATGATAGCCTTGAGCAAAAGAAGCTCAGGGACTGTGTCCAGGTCCTGAGTTCAAGTTCCAGGACTCACAAAAAATAAAATAAAAATAGGGGGTTGGGAAGGAGAAATCTAGAGAAAATGAGGGGAGCAGGTATGACACTGTTCAAAAAGAAATATACCCTTTTCCTGACTTATGTAAGTGTAACCCCTCTGTACATCACCTTTACAATAAAAAAAAATTTAATCAAAAAAAAAAGAAAAACGAACTTTACAACTTTGGCAAGGGGGGGGGGTGCGGCATGGGAAGGGATGGGAAGGGGAAGGGGAAACAAAGGAGGAGACAACAATGCTTGATAAGAAATGTACTCATGGGGCTGGGGGTTTAGCCCAGCAGAAGGGCGCCTGCCCGGCGCGTGCAAAGCCCTGGGTTCGGTCCTCAGCCCTGGAAAAAAAAAAAGAAATGTACTCATGCTGGGTGTCGGTGGCTCACGCCTGTAATCTTAGCTACTCAGAAGGCTGAGATCTGAGGATCACGGTTCAAAGCCAGACCCGGCATCAAAGTCCAAGAGACTCTTATCTCCAATAAACCACCAAAAACTGCAAGTGGCCCTGTGGCTCAAGCAGTAGAGCGCTTGCCTTGAGCTGAAGAGCTCAGGGACAGCCCCCAAGCCCAGAGTTCAAGCCCCACGATGAACCAAAAAAAAAAAAAGAAATGTACTCATTATCTTGCCCATGTAATTGTAACCCCTCTATAGGGTATTTTCACAATTTAAAAAAAAATACTCAGGGACAGCACCCAGGCCCTGAGTTCAAGCCCTAGGCCTGGCATCTAAATAAATAAATAGATAGATTAAAATAAATAAATAAATAAATAAAGCACAATTTGAAATTGTAACTCAAGTTTTGCCTAGCCCCACAAAATAACTTTGCTGAAAGCCTGTGTTTAACTAAATGCAAAATGATTTGATAGCCAAAGTCTCTTACCAATTTCCTACTCTCTGCCACATGGTCACAAATGTCCTCCCAGCTGATCAAGAAGAAAATCAGTCCCTGAAACTCTTACCTCCAGTTAACCACCAAAAGGCTAGAAGTGGACTGTGGCTCAAGTGGTAGAGCATTAGCCTTGAGCAAAAAAAAAATGTAGGAACAGGACCCAAGCCCAAGGACTAGTCCCTCCTTCCCCCACCAATAAAAAAGATTTAAGCTAGGCACCAATGGCTCATGCCTGTAATCCCAACTACTTAGGACACTGAAATAGGGAAGATCCTGGACAACAAAGTTTATTGTGAGATCCTTCCTTTCCTTCTCCTTCTACCTCTCCCTCTTTTTGTGCTAGTTATTTTTTTTGGGGGGGGGGCCTCCGGTCGTGGGGCCTGAACTCTGGGCCTGGGCGCTGTCCCTCAGCTCTTCAGCTCAAGGCTAGCACTCTACCACTTGAGCCACAGCGCCACTTCCAGCTTTTTTTCTTTTTGCTTATGTGGTGCTGAGGAATTGAACCCAGGGCCTCTGGCATGCAAGGCAAGCGCTCTATCACTGAGCCACCTTCCCAGCACCTGTGCTGGTTATTTTTAAGATAGGCTTTTGCCTTGCAACCACACATACTTCACTCCCACCCAGTACACCATAAATCTTCACAACTCAGCCTCCCAAGGTTGGATGTTGGGCAGATGAAGGAGTTCAGGTGGGCACTGTTAAGTCATTTGTAGAGAAATGTGCCCTTAGCAGACTTGAACCAAGTGCTGACTTCTGCCCTGTGCCTGTTGGGAAGTGGAAACCAAAAGAATGTATTACTTTAATAAAGGCAAATATGTAGATAATCTTGGCAGGTCCTGGAAAAGTTTTCTTTGAAGACCGGTGAATTTCTACCTTATGTCCCTTCCTGCAGCCTTCCTTGTCCGGCCTGCTCCAGAGTCTCAGTCTGACATGCCTGAGACCATACCACTAAGCAAGCCTGGGGCGCCTGAGGCCAGGGCATTCCCGGAGCTCCAGGAAATCAGCTCTAGCTGAGGGCATCCTCTATACTGATGCCTTCAGCTGATTGATTGCATCCTGAGGGCCCACCTCCTTACCAATGAACCCAAGGTAGAAAGAGCTGTGGTGTTCTCTCTTTCTTCTAATCCTCAACTCACATCTCTCCACCTCCTGCCCTCCTTCTCCCTCAGATCCTGGCGCCCCCGTGAAATTGCCTTGTCTGCCAATGAAACTGTCACCTCCGCTACCTCCAAAGAAAGTCATGATCTGTATGCCCGGCGGGGGCCCAGAGCTCTCCCTGGCAGCCTACGCAGCCCAGAAGAGCAGCCAACAGGGCGTGGCCCAGCACCACCACACCGTCCTGCCGTCTCAGATCCAGCACCAGCTGCAGTATGGCAGCCACGGCCAGCACCTCCCCTCCTCCACCGGCACCCTCCCCATGCACCCCTCCGGCTGCAGGATGATAGATGAGCTGAATAAAACGCTGGCCATGACCATGCAGAGGCTGGAAAGGTAATGGAGGCCGGGAAGGAAGGGAGAAGGGAGAGGGGCTACGGGGGGTGGGGTGGGGAGGGGGGATGGAGATCAATCACCTGAGGAATGTGAACAAGAGCTCATCCCCTGGGATGGAGGTGGAAGGGATGATGGGGAGACTGGAAGGTAAAACCAGACCAAACGTTGAATCTCAAGGAACAAACATACAGAAGGTTTAGAGTTTATTATTGAGCATGGAATGATGTGGAAACTAACCTTTAAAATATGTCCCTGGGTCACTGTATAGAGAATAGAATGAGCAGAAATGTCAAAGTCACAGTTGAGGCCTACCACAGTGGCCACTGAGACCAGGTCTCACCTCTGTCCCCAAAATCATGAGTGGAATCAAATGGAAGGTTCTGGGCCAGACATCCTACCTCAGCCTGAGAAATGCCCGGATGTCCAAGGCACATTGCTTGACTTGAGTTCCCTGCCTGACAAGGAGAAAGTTTTTCCATCTGGTGTGAAGAGTATATCTTACCTGAGACACTGAATGTGTGTCCCAGGGTAGTAACTGCTATTATTGAGACCAAGACCTGCAGATGAGAAAACAGCAGTTCTGAAGGCCTAGTAGACCTCAAAGCAGAGCCAAGCGCAAAATGTACCCAGGAGAGAGAGCTAAGCTTTGGTTTCCGGCCTCTTGGTCAAAGTATGTGCGTTTGGGAAAAGACTTAACTCAGAGAGAAGTTGTCGCCTCTTAGGTATTCTGAGTTTGTCATGTTATGTCATCCAAAGCAAAAACAAAACTTAATTTGGTCCTTTGCTATTGTTTTCAACTCTAGTTATTATTATTGAGAACATTAAGAACTTAAAGTTTGGGAGAAAACTTCTCATCTGTGCCTCCATCCGCACATCCGCAGCAGGAGCATCATCGTATTTAATCCTCATGGAGAAAGCAGGAGAGGTTGAGTAAATCCCTCAACGGATGCTGCACAGAGCACCTGTCAGCACCCATGAGTGCAGAAGTTGAGAGCATACTTTCAGATACTTTTAGAGTGTTAGACAGGATCATTTTATGTCTGTTGAGTCTTGTGATTAAAAAGGCTTTCGTTATTTTTAACACTCGTATTTCACAAAAGCACAAGTTTTCAATGGATTCAGAATGAAAAGAAATACACAATTAGAACTGTTGTTTCAGAGCAGCCATTTGAAAAGCATTGCTATAGGCAGTGTGTAGAGGTGCCGAGCCTTCTAGCCTGGATCTTGCCATCTTCCAAGTCCATAATTCTGTACTACAGCACAGCTGATTCTTGATGATAACCTAAGCCACTGTGATTCTCCACCAAGTAAAATTGTATGTTGACTGTGAGCCTTCATCATCTGAAACAGACACTTGTGACAACGTTATTAGTAGGATCTTGCGAATATGTTTCCATATAAAATAGACCATTTCAGCCAGGTGCCAGTGGCTCACACCGAGCTACTCGGGAGGCTGAGATCTAGAATCAGGGTTCAAAGCCAGCCCATGCAGGAAAGTCCACGGGACTCTTATCTCCAATTAACCACCAGAAAATTGGAAATGGTACTGTGGCTCAAAGTGGTAGAGCACTAGCCTTGAGCAAAAAAGCCTAGGGACAGCACTCAGGCCCTGAGTTCAAGCCCCATGACCAACAAAAATTTTAAAAATAGACCATTTCATGGTATCCATGGGTATTTGTGGGGAATATTTCAGTGCAGTTTAGACCAATAAGGAGTCTACTGGGCCTATACTGAATTAAACTCTTTATTGAAATGAATCCAAGGGAATAGACTGGAAGGGGAATATTGGGAGATAGGAGAAAGGGTACAGCTAAGGTTGGCAGCTGAACCAAGGATGTCACCATACTTTGTGCCACACTAACTGCTTGTTTCTTCTTTCTGTCTCCCTCAACTTCTACCTAAGTCAAGGGGTAGAGTTCTCCTACTAAACTAGCCAGGACTGAGGGGATTCATTCACATATCACTAACAAGATTACATACCTGGAGGAAGAGAAGTGTCTTCCCAGAAAGATTGGGGAGATTTTTCTGACTACCCATGTTATCCACACAGTCCTAGGAGAGTCCTAGGGAAGGATAAAGCCACTGTCTGTCTACTCCCCTACAAGTGAAAGAATGTGTCAGTGTCTCAGGTGATGTCGCCTTATCATTACCCCCCCCCAATAAAATCCCTCCATCTGCTTGTCAATATGATTTTTTTTCTTGATCTAGCCAAGTTTTATTCAGAAAGAATGGTTTCTCTATCCTCCTGACAATGTCCAATGATCCCAAAACACTGCAGGAGGAAAGGTCATTGAACACTCAGGTATTCTACCAAGGATCCTTGGGCCTTCCCACATTTGTGTTGTCATGGCCCCGAAGATCTCATAGCATGCCATCTGTAGAGCATCAGTACCAACCAGAAGTCTGATCCCTATAGAAACATTGCAGATAATCTGAACATCAAATAATGAGCTAGGCACCATTCTAATTACACTAGCTTCTGGGCCGTGCAGGTGTCTTTAGCTTACCACTGAAAGGGACCTTGAAGGCCATGTAGGAAGGCAATTTCCTGCCTGAGACAGCATTCCCGATCATTTGTCCTCTAGTCTCTGAATGAGAGCCTCACTGGGTCTTAAGGCAGTCTACTATGGAGAAGGCCTGATTTTTATTATGCCCTTTCTTATATTAAACTAAAAGACTTTTATTCAATTGTAACTTTTATCTCCCACATCTTATTTCTAATCATCTTTTTCTATGAAAGGTTTTCAGACCTTTGAAAGGAGCTACCAAGTCCTAAAGCCTAAAGACTTCTCTCAACCTTTTCTCCTGTTTCTCAGAGATTATATGAATCTATTCTGATCTGTATGAAGAAGTTTTTAATTGTCTTCCATCCAAGGCTGCTTAGTAGCATTAAAAAATAAATACCAAGAGCTTTGGCTTTTGGATTCTCAAAAGACTTCACTTTAAGAAAATGCCCTTCCTTGATTAAAGCAGGTTCATACGTCTAGATGCTCATGCAGAAACTTTGAGAGAGTTTGAGTCACTTTTGAGACCTTTCTTTCTCTCCTACCTCATGTCTAATCCTTGCTAATTCTATCTGATCTGCTGAGAGGAGCCTGCCTCCTTGACTTCCTCCAACGCCTGCTGTCTGCTGGCCCCATACTCCCTTGTCCTAGAACTAGAGCTAGTCCTAGACTAGAACTAGGTCAGTTGAAGCAAACTTGAAGGGTTTGTATTTATCCAACGTCTCAAGAAGGGTCTGTATTTATCCCACCTCATGACCAAATGCATGAGTTCCAGACTATTAACACCAAGATTTGGATGGAGCTCAGACCCACTGCTGATTAGCACTGTGGCCCAAAGCATGCTGCATAACCTCATGTGGCCTTTCATTCCTCATCTGGAAAACAAGGATAATAATAATAGCAACAACCTCATTAGTGTTATTTTGTGAGCATCAAATGATTTCATCAATCCAAATCAATTGGGTCATTATGTGGCACATTTCAAATGTCCGATAAATAACAATGACATTAAGCAAAATTATACAGCAAAGAAAAAGCTGTCTTTGTGGCCCTAAAAGGTGCATTACAAATAAGATTGAGCCAATTCTTGTTTGAGCTTTTGTTTATGCCAGTTCCTTAGAATTAGACCATGTTCTCAGCTCTCCACTGATAATTTACGTCTTTTTGGAAGGTGATAGCTTATGGTTTCAATTATCTTTTTTAATTTTAAGACCTGCAGTAAACTCCATGCTCTAGATGGCATCTACCTTGGAACTCAGACTAAACTCTAATCAGCCACTGGTTTTCTTTCCGCTGTTAAGAAGTTCTCTGTGTTCTCCTAGTGAGATATAGACCTGGACCGTGTTGACACAGAAGGAATTTTAGAAAGATTCTTAAAGAACTTCACTGTAAGGGAGGAAAAGTGCCATCTTCACTAAAGGCAGTTCTGTACTTCGAGTTGCTCAAAGAGAAAACTAGGGTTGTGTGTGTGTGTGTGTGTGTGTCTGTGTGTCTGTGTCTGTGTGTGTGTGTGTCTGTGTGTCTGTGTGTGTGTGTGTGTGTGTGTGTGTGTATGCCAGTCCTGGGGCTTGAACTCTGGGTCCCTGAGCTCCTTTGCTCAAGGCTAGTGCTCTACCACTTGAGCCACAGCACCACTTCCAGCTTTCTTTGAGTCACAGCACCACTTCCAGCTTTCTTTGAGTAGTAGTTTATTGGGGATAAGAATCTCATGGATATTTTTGCCCAGGCTAGCTTCAAACTGTGATACTCAGATCTCAGCCTCCTCAGTAGCTAGGACCGCAGGCATGGGCCACCAGCACCTTTCTTTTCCTCCTGCCCCAAGCCTGATCTACAAAGAGATATCTGCTCCTCCGCCCTCAGGCTCAAACCTTCCTAGTCCTCCCGCTTTGCTTTGCCCTCCTGCCTGGAAGTCTGCCCTCCTGCCTAGTGGTTTGTCTCCTCAGGCCATGCCCCACATAGTAGCCAAAAAGACAGCATTCCACAAAACCAAATCAAGAACGCATTAGTTTTCCAAGACTGCCATGGCATAGTACCACAGGCTATGTGGCTTCAACCACAGAGATACATTCTCTGGAGACTAGAGGTCCAAGATCAAAGTGCCAGGGTCTGATCAAGGCCTTTCGCCATGGCAGTCCAAGATGGAAGGTGTGAGGCTGAGAGAGGGTAAGATAAGAAATAGGGAAGAAGTTGCTTTTAGAACAAACCCATTCCCAAGATCATGGCATTAATCCATTAGGTCATGAGGGCCCCATCTTGATCGCCTCTGACATGTTCCATCTCTTCACATGGTTGCATTGGGGCTTAACTGTCTGGCACGTATGTTTTGTGGAACACATTCAAACCATAGCACTTAGTCGCCATCAACGATTCTTTACTAAATACGCTTTCTAGACCAGGCTTTAGAAAGAATACAGAGGGTGGCTACCCTCAAGGGAACTGCACATCCCCTGAAAGGGTAGTTTGAGTAGATTAGTACCTGAAAGGGTACAGGGTGGA